TTCGACAGTATGATTTGCTTGGGATTATATTTCTTTCTTGGATTATATTTCTCATTGAATGCCACTGGTCATCTACTGCTTCAATCATTCTCTTGGCTATGAGGTGTATAGATATTTTGTGGTGGTGGAGTAGTTTGCTCTAGTGTATCAAAGCTAGGCCTTTTTTCGTCCTTTCTGAACATTTCGTTTGTGGGCGTGTTAAGTATGACTGTTCGATAGTCACTACTTCTTGTTGGTCTGTGGACATGAACACCCCCAAGAAATAGCTCATTATCTGTTATAAAATAATGATACAAGTTAAAGGGTTCGCACATCTACTCTATCTAGCAGCGTTTGAAAGTTGCTCTCCCAGCGCTGAACCTTCAGCGGCTATGCTGATTCGCCTGGGGAACAAACCTTTCTTAGTTGTACCAAGTTTGACGAAATGTAGAGATGTGTCGATATCTTCTGATAAGAGTAGTTGAGCAAACCCTAGGAGTTGTAGCAGCAGTATTGTGGTAATCAGTTTGTCTTCCTGAGCATCAGTTCTTGAGAGAGACGGGATAACCCTTTCAGTGTAGTATGTCGCGTCATTTTTGTAGAAGCAGCACTTGCATGATTCTGTCACATCGATTAGTTGCGTGTCATGTGGCGTTACGGATTTGAAATGGCCGTTTATATCTGACCACTCTTCCTCCAGTTCTGCGTTCCCTATCCTGTCGCAATTGCCATGCCTTGCAAGCTCACTTCATTGTCCGCAATGTCGGGGGTCAACTATGTTTCAGTCAGGATTATGATCCACATATCCATCTGAGAACAAATGTTCCTGATCTCTAACTGCTTAACCCTTAGACGTATTATATGGCTAGAGAGGCACTGCGTGGTTTTTATCATCATACGGTGCGCCTCCGCAGTAATATCAAAATCTGGACTTTGAAAAATTTGTTCAAACCTAGTCGGCCAGTCCCTATAGAACTAACTTCAGGAGTTGTTTTGCTTCTATGGTGTATTCACATGGCGAGACATGATTTTCCTGTTGTGTCTCATGGATTGTTGATGGAGGACAGGTGACATGATTATGCGCTAATCTCAGCCTCCCTGTTGTTAACTCACAGATTTAGATTGGATCTCGAAAAATCCAGCTTGTCTTAAAAGATCCTTTTACGTGCGGTAGCAAGCCTAAAGAGCCTCAATAATGTATTACGACAAAGATTAGCGGGAAAAACAAAATAGCCGTAACGCGTGACGGACGAGAAGGCCGGGAAACGCTGGATGACATCGTGATGTGAAGGACCATGCTACATGATACCTATGACCATTACTACACGTCCAGTATATGAGCTCCGTCCAAGCACCCACCAATCAGCTAAGGCACTCCAAGAACCACGAGACTACAGATGAAGACCAGCTACTGTCGATCACAAGAAACACAAACTTCAGGTGTCATTGTGAGACCCCCAGTTCATCTAATACCAGCTCATTCTTTAGCAAACAAACACCTGGCTTTCTTACTTGTTGCTTCACTCACGAATTCTTAAAACTATTTTTCGTCAGCTGCCTATCCTTCCCATGTCCAAACTACCTATAAACTAACTTAACTGCGAAATTCGTACCATTAGTTACCTGAATATCTGTGTGATTTGCTACATGGATATATAATACATTTCACAGAGACTTCTACTACATATATCAAGATATTTCTACTGACTATGGTTCTGGTGTTTCAGATGTTAGCCAGCTCTCTTTTGTCTGCCGATCCGCCCCTTCACTTCTGCACCAGATCCACCTTGCTCATCAGTGATGCTGCCTAGATATATAAAGGTCATTACGTCCTCTAAGGCATTCCCATGAAGAGTAATCTGGTCGGCGCCTGTACCAGAAAATCTTGCTTTACCCTTTACGTATGATGAGGCCTGCTGCTGCTGAGGCTGCTGCTACACCGATCGTCTTCTCTTGAATTTGTTGTTGTACGAGTGATAGAAGAGCCAGATCATCAATAACCTTTTGATTTTTCAGCTGTATCCAAGCTGTTCATTGTGTTACATGCTGTCATCCAGATGTTGACGTCTTCGTAATCCAGTTAATTACTAGGAGAAAGCGAAACGGTGAGAATAAACAATCTTACCTGACACAGGTCTTCACCTCAAACGAGTCTGCCAGCTATGCCTCGAGGATGATTTTTCAATTTAAAAATTCCGTATGGTATTGACTAGCTTCTCAGCCACAGTGTAGCGTTGAAGTATCCACGATACCAAATGCTTTCCCGTCGTCAATGTAATTGATGTAGAGTGGTGAGTTTCATTTAGTTGATTGTTCCACAATGATCCGTAATGTAGCAATTTGGTCAGTACACGATCGATCCTTACGAAATGCAGCCTGTTAATCTTGAAGTTGGGCGTCTAGGAAGTCCTTCATTCTGTTTAACGATACCCCGCTAAAGACTGCCTCGTATTGAGAAAAAAGTGATGCCTCCGTAGTCTTCTTGCTTTTTGAGATAGCCTTTCTTTGGTATTTTGATGATGTATCCTTCCTTCCAGTTTGTTGGTACTTCTTCTTCATCCCAAATCTTGTTGAAGAGAATGTGAAATATTTTTGCAGTTGCTGACACGTCAGCACTCATTACCTCCCCTGGAAAGTTGTCTGGTCCTGCTGCTTTGCCGCTCTTGATTTGTCTGATAGCCATTCTGATTTTTTCAAATGTTCATGGGACAACATCGATTGACAGGTCTGTGGATGCTGCTTTAATAATGAATGGGTTTAATGAGTCTGGTCGATTCAAGAGTTCCTTAAAGTACTCTACTCACCTGGTTCGCTGTGCTTCAATGTCGTTTATTACATAACGTTTCTTGCTTTCCAGTAGTCGTTCTATTTTACTGGTTTCCATCATGCTTCCTGATTGTATCGTACAACGGTCTCCATTCCCCTTCTCTTGCAGCCTCATGGTCAAGAACTCCCTGAAATATTCAAGTGACTGCCTGTAGAATCTATTTTGAATTTTCTTTTTAGCAAATCCCTCCATGTATATATATTTGTGTTATGATATGACTGAATCTTTCTGTTGACATTTTGGTACTATATTTGATTCCGTTTTGAGATTTTATCATTGTATATTGATATTATTTCTATATCTTGTACGTTTATTGAAATTTTTATGTTTGCTTCACGCCCTTGAGTATAGTCGTCCGACAAAGACAAGGAACCTTTTGCCTGAGACATATATTCAGTTCATTAATTTTTATGGTATCACTTAATTTTTTTTTTTTTTTTTTTTTTTTTGTTTTGTGGTTGGGGGTGGGGGGGGGTGTTGTGTGTGTTGGTTGCTTTTTGTTTTGGGGGGGGTTTGGGGGTTTTTTTTTTTTTTGGGGGGTTTTTTTGGGGGGGGAAAAGCCGGATATAAATGCTGGAACATATAGTGCTAGTTGAATTTCAATTTCATTTTGGCGATGAGTAGGTGGTGACCTAAGGCTCACGCAACTCTTCTCTTGCTTCTCACGTCGATATGTTTCTCTGTAGTGTCATTCGATGAAATCTGTGTTGATATGTTCATGCCTTTGTGTGGTAATATTATGCCACCTATGATCAGCTTGTCCGCATTCATTCTGGTTTGCACACCTTTCACAGTTTTCGTTTCCTTCTTACAGTCTGTTTCGTCCAACGATGTCTTCATACATAGGATGTCAACTATGTCATTTGGATTCCTCATTAAAATGGTAAAATCTTATGATGTAGGGATCTATCCAAATGAATAAAAAATAACCATTACACGTTACTGAATAACCTGAAATCGCTTGACAACCTTTCATCCTTATAAGAAAATCATAACCAGTGTGAGTCCACTACCCGCACTTGCAGAAATGGCACATGAGATTGAAAATTGCCTTCTTAGTTTTATTTCTTTATAAATGTTCTGTACGATGACATGTTTTATGATTAAACTGATAAACAACGATACTGACATATATCTAATGAGAAATCGAACAAAAATTCGTACTAGTGAATACCTTATGTAGAATTCTTTTTGAATGTTTTGTGTTTTCGGAAAATCCCTCCATGTTTACATATTTTTGCTATGACATGATGGACTTTTTCTCTTGACATTTTTGGTATTTTATTTGATTCCAATTTGAGATTTTATCATTGTATATTGTTATTCTTTCTATATTTTGTACTTATATTGAAGTTTTTGTGTTTGCTTCTGAACTGTACATATATTGTTTAAATCTGATATAATATGGCTACCGCCACATTTTTGGACGGACGCGGTGGCTGCTGGACTTAGTGTCACTTATTGGTTATCGTGTTGGATACTCTGCGGAGTAATTTAACCCTGGAAGAAACACAAATTCCGTAAGACTTTGTATTTCCATTTTATAATAATATAGAGACGTTTTCTCCTAGAATTTTGCCCTTTTTGATTTGGTCGGGACCCGGAACTAGGAGGAACGTACAGGAGTGTTTCTATAGGAAACAATTGGGACAGCCACTGTCGAAATAAATCTACAGTCTGGAATTTTCTTCTTTCGTGGATTATACTTTGGAAATATTCATCGGAACATATATATTTTGGAACTATTCGGATTATTAAGAATTATAAAGAAACATTTGGAATTTTAATCGTTTATCGTAATTTTGAACTGAACTTTGGAATTACTCTATTTTGTATCTGTTACCTTTCGTATTGAACCCCATTTATAATGTCAAGCAGGAAGAAAGCAAACATGAGGACGGTGGAAGAGCTCGACGGATCACAGGGCTCTAGGCAAGTCGTTAATGATAACTTTTTTATGGGTAACCCACATGTTATGTCTGATATTTATTATTGTAAGTCATCGATAGAGGGTTTAGAACTACCTAAGGTTGAACTCTCATTTTTTGATGGAAGGTCTCGCGACTATTTTAGGTTCATACGACAAATAGAGACGTTTATAGAACCTCGAATAAAGGATGATCAAGTGCGTTTATTGTATTTAATTCATTATTGTAAGGGAAAAGCAAAAAATGCGATTGAAGGCTGTATTATTATGGATCCACAATCAGGATATAAGAGAGCTAAGGCCATTCTAAAACAGCTCTTTGGACAGTCGCATGTAATAGCGCGAGAAACCTTAGAGGACTTATTTAGAACTGGGAATGTAGAATTTAATGATCCTGAATCATTGACGAACTTGGCTATTAAAATGCAGAATGCTGCTTTAACTTTAGAACAGCTAAATTGCACAACGGAACTTAACTCTATGGCTACTTTAGAACGAATAGTAAGGCTCTTACCTCGTCGAATGCAAGCCCAGTGGGCAGAGCTAGTATTCAAGTGGGACGAAGAGGAGAGAGAGCCCAATTTTAACGAATTGACGGAATTTATTATGTCTCGTGCTAAGATAGCTAGTAGTAGGTTTGGAAGATTAGCTTATCAGGCTAAAACAGGAAATAATACGGAAGCTACTAGTGGTCTGCGTGCGAGACATTCGGATTTTTCGTTTCTACCTAAAGCACGCTCGGAAGATAAGAGATTTGTCAATTATATCACGAAAGCATACGCTGATGAAGGACGAGTATGTGACCGTAACGATGTAAAGCCTCTTGATGCGTGTCCTAGCAAGAAGCCGGTTGGTGTAACAGATAAGATGGCTTTTCTAAGTGTAGAAAAGAAAGAAAAAGGCGAAAAGTGTAGGCATCAAGATGGATCCGAAGTGTGTGATGATAAAAGCCTCTTAGCTGCTCGAAAAGCCTGGAACGGTTATTTGGATTCGAGTAATCAGAGGTTAATGAGTTCAGCAAATATGAATAAGCCCAGGCAGGATTGACTGAACGGAATAAAGCTTATTTTCGGAACCCTTCAGTTAGGGTAAATTATATAACTGGACCTAGAGTAGATTCTAGGATAAGTGATGGTGGTACAGTAACGGCTAAGAAGCCTAGGAGACATGATGCTACTATTACTAAGAAGCCTGAACCTCATGCTCTTTCGGATGCTACGACTAGCCATGGAAATAGTAGCCATCAGAACCTTAGTAGTGACAGTGATAATAAGGAGATAGAAAGTGTCAGCAGTTCACTTATAGGGACTAGTTTATCAACTTCATCGAATGAGCCTCCTAGTGTTTCGACGCCATCGGACCTCGTCACGAAGGTTAAGTTGATTGAAGATGCACAAGGTTGTGCAACTGTAACTGTTCCTATTACGGTTGACTGTCAGTCGAGTGATGATGAGAAGAAAGTGTTTGATGGTAACAGCCAGTCTACAGTGCTGTGTGATGACGATGCTATTGTTGAGCATATGTCTTGTGCCGCGGAAACGGATGCTAATGCAGAACGGAATCATTTAGACGTTGATAATAAACTGGATGTCACTGATGTGACAAATGAGTTACCGACGATGATGAATACTGTTCAAACCTCCTCTGCATCAGGAGATGGACAGCGCATTTCGGGATTCTTCAAGCTCTTCCGCCCTCTTCGTGTTTGTTTTCTTGCGGTTGCTCATTTTTAAGTGAAGTTCAACGGAAGATAAATAACAAATAGAAAATATAGGAATTCCACACGTAAGTTCTCAATAAGAAATATCCAAAATCAGAAAATCGTTTTCCAAAATACAGTTCGAATACAAAAAATACGATAAGTAATCCAAGGTTCTTCTTCCAAGAAGTTTAATATTATAAACGATTAAAATTCCAAATGTTTCTTTATTCTTCTTAATAATCAGACTGTAGTAGTCTTATTCTCCAAATTTGTTAGACTGTAATTGGAATTTCAACCGTAGCAGTTCAATTCGATTCCAATAGACGTATGTTGGACGCACTCTCCGATCTAGTATATCAAAACACAATAATTCTAGGAGAAAATGGTCTAACAAATTTTACGTCTTCCAATTCAAAATTACTCTGAATGAGTATCAAGTTTCCGGATACTAGGTGAACTCGTATACCGCACGATATCAAATCCGAAAAATGTGGCTGTAGCCATATTATATCAAATTTAAACAACATATGTACAGTTCAGAAGCAAACATAAAAACTTCAATATAAGTACAAAATATAGAAATAATAACAATATACAATGATAAAATCTCAAATTGGAATCAAATAAAATACCGAAATGTCAACAGGAAAAGTCCGTCATGTCATAACAAAAATATAAACATGGAGGGATTTTCCAAAAAACAAAACATTCAAAAAAGATTCTACAAAGGTGTAATATTGTTTGGTAATTGTCTGTATTTCCATGTTTATTAAATAAGGACCGTTTTCTCCCAAAATTATCGTGTTTTTATTCCTTATCAGGCGTACGCGAATCAAACTGCACCTATTGGAGCAGGAATGAACTGTTAGAGTAGAAAATCCATTTACACTGCCCACTTGATCCCTTTCCGAATTTCCTCCATTGTCGTTTCGTTACATCTTATTAGATCAGGAAAAGCTTAGAAACTATTGCAGAGCGTCAGCGCAACTCCTTGTGTGTTTGAGGCCTTTTCTTTTTTATGGCCAGAGTATAACAGCAACTCTACTGAAGATAGTCTCAGTTTTACAATCTGCGCTCAATATGTTTCACTGATTTCAAGCACCACCAGGTTGTATCTGTTCAACAATGCAGAGATTGGGAAGACTGTTTTGGTATCTCTCATTGTTCGAACATTCCAATGACCTAAAAGACGGTTGCTCTTGTTGTTAGAAGGGACATCAGCGTTCATCATTCCGAAGGAACTTGACTTTCATCATTTGACATCACGGCTCTTCTGAATGAAACCAAGGCAGAGTTAAAATGGTTTGAATTATTTTTCTGGCTATCGTTTATTAGCAAGTTGGTGTTCATCGAAACGGAGTTGCTAACCCCATGCTTGTCTTTCCTCATTTATTTGGGCTTGCGACCGGCAGTAGTTTCGTATTGCTCACATGCGGACTTGTTTCCATTTACCACCGAGCAGCAATTCCGAACTATTAAAAATTTCATATTGAAGATTAGTATGCACGAGATCAAATCGTTATTTGTACTGACATTGTCTACATATGTTTCACTAGTTTATATGATGTCTGTTACACAACTCGCTTACGAAGCAACTCACCATCACTTGTCGCCGTTAATAAGGCTGTTTTTCGCTAGCAAGCTGATTTTATAATAAAATCAAGACGTTTCATGTCATAGAGCCAATTTGTTACCTTTCATAATTTTGGGTAAACTTTTGTTTATCGTACTCATAAACGTTTATATATTTTTGAAGATTCTCTCGTATTTCGCAACTTGGTTTCTCGCGGTATTGGGCTATTAATCCCATACTCAACCCCTCTCTTTCATCCGTCTTGAGACTGGCAGTAGACGTGTTTCAATAGTAGTTTAGTTGCCTCAAAAATCAGTAAGAATTGCATAATTACCTTTACCTTCTAATCAAGCAACTTCTCATTTCTGGTAAACATTTCCGCAAGTCCTATTTTTGTGAGGAAATTGATTTTTGTTTACCGATGAATCTACAATGATGAGAGCAGTTGATCGAGACTGACAGATTTGCCCCAAAATGATGCTGATTTGGAATGACTCTACTTACCCAAATAGTTGCTTTTACTGTCTACTAAGAATGGAGAAGCTTATGTCATTTGGAATGTTTAACGTATCTGTCTGACGTCGAAAACTGGATAGTTAACAGAAATTTTGCGATTTCACGAGGACAGGTAAGTATCAAAGTTCTCTGAAATGTTTGTTTACTATCCTAGTAACCAAAATGTAGGATATAATTGATGCGATTGATGTTCTGACTTATAAAGTCCAATATCATCAGTGAAGTCTATCGGTGCAAATAAATTTAGCATTATAAGAACATAATTTCTCCACATTTGTTCTTTCGTGGTTGACCTTAAACCTGTCGTTGTTTACACCTTTGTTTTGATTGTATCCCCCTTTTGGTCTGTTTCTTGATCCTATTTCATCTATGATTTCTGTGATTGGTTGATAAATTGAGTCAACGTCAATGTGTTTGTTGATTGCTGATTGACCTGCGTGCCAAGCTTCTAAAACTTCTGTAGCGTTATTTGTCCTCTCTCTATCCAGTATTTCCACATTGTTCCCATCGACATTACATCCATAATTGTCCGTATGCTTTGATATAAGCGAAGAAATGTCGTGACTTTTGACTGCGAGTTAATGTTCATGTAATCGAAGCCCATGTCGTAGGGCTAAACCGATTTATCTGCTTACAGCTTGCTACGATGGAGCAGAATGTAACTAATCACTGACATGTATATATATATATACATATATATATATATATATAGTCAGTATATCTTGTGGAATATTTACGTAACTGAACAACCTTTAACAGAAAGTATGTTAGCATGAAAACTTTTAGCCATCTAAATGGACCCAATGTATCCTATGAAATATTTCAGTAACTGTATACCACTTTAATAGAAATATGTTGCTAATCTTAACATTTTGATCTTGCCTGTAAATTGGCATGCCTCTTTTAACATGTTGTTACATGAGAATAAATTATTACTATTATTATTTGAAGCATTTGATGGTCCGTTCGTCTCATTATGGGACTTTCACTTGAACCCGATCAACGCTCCAAGGTTTCTTGTTGTGGTCTAAAATTGGACGACTCATGACATCAATAATAATAATAATAATAATAATATATTTAGTCTCAAATAACTACGTTACAAGAGTCACGCAGAACATACACACTAAAACAAAAACAACTAAGATAAAAGTGAATAGTTGGCAATATCGGAAGACTTGTGAAGAACTCGAGAAGGAAGGAGAGATTAAACTGCCCAGAGAGTGAGACAAGCCTGTGAGTTCGGCATACAAATACACATACTGCAAGCTTTCCATATCTCCATATCGTCAGCATATGACCGAACCGATAAAAAAAGAGACCAAGGAAGTCTATCACATGAAGAAAAAACAACGCTTGAAAACTTTCTTAACTTCAAAATATATTCGTTTAAACCTACTAATTGACTGACAGTAATTCTTACACCTAATAACCGAATAACTTTTCCATAAAATCTTTCCCTAACTCCACTGATTTTAGTAGTAACCAAATTATTACACAATATTTTATACCGTTAAATATCCGTTAAATATCTGTTGCTTGAATGGATTCAGAATATAACACAACACCAGTTAAAATTAGTCAATTAAAGACTAGACCCTTCAAGTATATTCAGCGATAGGATTAATATTGTAAACACTTCTAAGGCACCAGAACACTCTTCAACCTTAACTAAGAAGAGTGAGGAGACTAAAATGTAAGATCTTAGATCTGAGTAGGATTTAATCCAGCTTACTCATGAATCTCCCAGCTACAAAGAATGGATATACCCCTCTAATGTCACATGCTGTTTCCTTGGCCTTTCTTTAAGACTGACAATAATACGAACAAGTTCGACAAACACCTGATCATGCGCAATAATAAAATTTGTACAAGAGCTAGGTTCACTGAACAACCTCCGGACCCTGGAGTTGGGAGTGTGGAAGAAGATTTTCATCCAGCGACCTATCCTTATACCCAGGATTTTGATTGTAAGAACCCTCAGAATGAAAAATCGTTACATTTCATCTACCAAGCGAGTTCGTAAAAATGGCCCGCGAATATTGAAAAGGTCAAAACAACTGGCACTTGAATACGAAAACTTTCTCCAGATTAAGACCATTAGAAATAAACATAACCATAGTTACGAGTCTGATCACTAAGGCAATACTAAAAACAGCAGTGGATTGCACTGCCAGCCTATTCAAATTTTTTCGGGATACAGCCACATACTGGATCAACATATACCCCGATACATTTCATACCAACTGCAGAATACGAAATCGCACACAATCTCAATCAGGCAACAATCTAACCCTTTCATCCGGGCTTACAACTACTCCTGGAAGCTTCAGTAGCTAATTTAATGACTCCCATCCTAACCCCTCATACTACACCCATGTAGGGGTTGGTAACTCCTTTAACAAAGATACTCTCAAATGTTTTCTTTTAGCGGGACATAGGTTTAATAAACGTCTTATCAACGATCATAATAAGCAAATTAGAAGTTCATTAAGGGTAATTTGGAATCTGGTTCCTACCTAAAACCTTTTTTGACAAACAGTTTCATGGACTTGTTTAATTAGAGTAAGCTAGTTTCCTTCCAAAACTTTTTCTGACAAATTGAGCCGTGGATTTCCCATGTCAACTCAGAGGGTTTTGAAGATACCAACCACTCATAGTCAAAGTATTTATCCCGAGTAGAAAACCATTATTACTCTTGTAGAGTGAACAGCGGTTAGCCAAGCTAATCAGCCGCTTTTGTCCTTTGTATATAAAAACGTAACTAACCATTTAACACGCTCCACTTTTACGGCATATAATGATGATAAGGATTAAGCGGAAGTTATTTCTAATCATTAAAAGTACTCCTTCCTTAATCTTCTGTATTCCATCAGCTCTAACCAGCGTGAAATCACAAGATCAAGTTCTGTATTGTCCACAGAGTGTTTTAACTAGGTTTCTGACATGGCGAATACATTCGGCTTCACAGTGTTCATCGGTATTACCAACTGATGTAACTAGTTGCGAAAATATCAGGCAATAATATAACAAACCAGAAGACAATTCGAAGGACTTCCTGATGCTACCAAAGTCGCTTCAACATCATTCTGCTGAAGACTCATTACCGAAAAACTTAAGATGATGAGGACTTTATCTATAGCATCTATACCGAGGTTCTTTTTCAGCCTCTCGTTTCTTAATATGGTCTACGAGTGACAATTCTTAACTGAAAAACTCTATGTCCCTTCAGTTCACGTCTAATCGATGGTATCAAGTAGCTTCAACTGTGAAGTTCAAATACTAACCTCGGCAGCTTCGTTAAATTTTATTGTAATCTCTGTCGATTTCCTTGTCTGTAATCTTTTTATAAGATGACTAATGAGAGATTTTGGAAACCCTTGCTGCAACCCAATGTCACGTACAAAGTTCAGTTCTTTCACTCTGTTTCATTGTGTGACAGATAGCTGATCTGATAGTGTGATTGCACTTCAGTCTGAAAACTAGAATTCAATCAATGATAAAAAGTCGTTTCGTTCATAGCTTGCACTCTTTCATCAGTTTTCACTGCAATGGCAACCACACACATCATAGTACGAAGTCACAAATAATGGACGACCATGTGGATCATCAGATCAATTTTATGCCGAAAACAGTCCTAGGATTACGAGCAGCTTCCGTAAGTTCTTGATCCACACCATAGATAGGTTGAGTCACGGAAATAAGCTAACTTAGAGTTTTTACTAATTGGATACCATTTTGGAGCCAGTGCTTTCTCCTTCGATCCATACGGGTTATTCAATCCTGGGCTGACCTAAAATGAATGAATATCGACCTGCCTATTAATAGATGCAGCATCACTTGAACCATCACGATTGCGCTTGCCATATAGCAGCATTAACTATTGTGATCACATCGAATAGCAAACTGTTTGCAGCCGGAAATTAATTACACAACCATTTCCAACAATAAGTAGGTATAAGGTTGATACATGTTTCGTGGTACAACTATTAGTTGCCTGCTACTTGACTTCAGTTTCGATGAAATAAATCTTTCTATCTATTTCCGTACATCATGCTTGGGTTAACCACGGTATTGCGATGGCCAGAACAAGAAGCCGAACGTGATCAACTAGACTAAGGGCTATTGCTTGGTTCGCGAAAGGATTGTAGATGTTTGCTTGAGATCTGGGAAGCAGTCGAAGCCCTATACTGTTCGCTAGCTAGAGAGTTTTGATGAGTCGGACTGACTATCTTTGACTTGTAAATTGTTCGTTCATGTCAATTAATAGAATACCGAATTTTATGAACAATGATGTGTTCATGAACTCTGAGTTTCCTCATTGTTCATGTTGGCTCGGCTACATATACAGGCTGATCTAGATAGGTCCCGTAAGTCATCAGTTTTAAAAGATAAATTGTTTGCAATTTGGTAAAATTTCACTCTATTTAAGATTGAGACGCTTACAATGTATGTAGACAACCGGAAAACTATTTGCTCACCACTCCGAACTATACCGAAAGAACAATATTTGAATGCAAAAATATTAATTCGTTTATACTAGCTCAAAAAAGTTATTGGACTTGCTGGTTTTTATAATTCCAACCTCCTCAGGTCACTAAATATTTCGTTTATTATACCTGTTTCCTTTCCCTTGCTTACACTTCGCTCCTATCACACAATCTTCAATACCAATTAATAAGCTTAATTATCTATTTATTGACTTGTTATGAAATCTTCTTCGTTGAATTACAATTTTCTCCTTATTATTCTCTAAATTGCAACTAACTGATATTCGGTCTGTCAACGTACTGTAAGAACAAGAATCGAGAGCGAAGAAATCGAATGAATAATGTCAGCTCAAAAAAAACATTGGATATCGAAGGTCAAGGACGACCTGTGCGCGACAACTAACTGCATAAGGTTGGAGCTGTTGTGGAGATTATCTGTTTTAACCAGTGACCTACTTTGATAATTCGTTGCCACAATATAAAATTAACAGGTAATTATAACATTTATATGTCTTAGCCAGTCGTTAATAACCTATCTTACGTTGCGATTTAAGAACTTCAGAACTAACTAATTGATGGACTAAAATGTCATAAAAATTGCAGTGGACATAGGTTACCAGTGTTCATGTGGCAAATGATTATGGGGTAGAATTAACGGAACAAATAAAGTAGCTCAAAAACGGATTCACATCTTTGTAGCCTAATGTACTGAGAATCATCATCAAATGATCATCAGGTTCTATGTTATTTTCAGACTCTGTCATGTGGGATTTAACCATCAGCATTAGCATTAACGAAAATTCCGAAGATGTTTATTTCGTAGAATTACACGCAATGTAATTTATGGTTATTCTATACGATATTGACATTAAGTATTTCTAACAGTCCATATGAATGGTCGGATATTATCTGGTTAATAATATAATCTTCTGCTGATTTTTGGCACCTAAAATTCAGCCGTGGAATCCTGTCTTCCAATAATTTTTGTCTGAAGTTCTCGAGACAATGTTTAGTATTTATGTATTTGGTTAAAAATTTATCCAATGCTTCCATTTCAGCGAAAGTTTTGGTAACCGTAAAAGTGAAAACAGTTTTCAACATTATTAAGAAAATGTCCTTCTGACCGATATTAAAAGTGTGACTCAGTAGCGATTAATAGGCAATTGCATTTTATACCATTACTTTGGGTAGACAGTACATTAGTAGAAAAATGCGAACCGTTGTTGGCTGTCAGTATGATTGAGATGCCTGAATAGTGAAATGAGCATTATTTAAACCGTACAAAAAATCGACACAATTTTAGGTACGCTATGTCCACAGGTTAGTATTATCTTTCCTCCCAAACTATTCGCTTACAACGATAAATTGTTCTGATAAAGCCAGACTAATCAAACCATAACGTTACTTCTACTGCAGGCTAATAGTACGATTTTCTTGAGTTATTCAAAGCTCACTTTAGTTACGCCATATATTTTGATAGTCGACGGTTTTAGTCTGTAAAATTGCGTACTTTTCATCTAATTAGTTTTGAAACTAGTACTTTCGGTAAATTAAAAACGTAACACGATCGTTAGAAAGCACAAATATTTATCCTTGTCAAGGAGAAACGAGTAGACTGCTTGCTTTATCATAATACCTCACTAATGGTCGTATGTATTCTAATCATCAGTGTAATCTTTGCTAGTGATATTATTAGGTGAAGGTGGTATTTGATTGTGGTCAATTTCGAATCGTCTGCGGTTTCGGGTATAAGGGCGGGTTTCAGTAACCAGATGCCCACAGCGTAGAAGTATATTTCTAAAGGATTCGGAAAAAGCTGCATTAGCGTTGATCTGAGCGACTTGGTAGCGTGATCACAAAGCACAAGGGACAACTGCTTGAGACCGGTCACGCACGGCCTATTTATAAGACGTTTGTTAAGTGTTGGCTCCGTTCTTTAGGTAGCTCTAACGCCAGAGACGGAAATCTTTAAGGCAGGGTGAGGTGCGGAATTTTTATGGTCGACGTCTTCTAACCTCTTCCATTTTGTGAAAAGGCAGCATCGCTGCAGATGCTGGTTGTGCGAGAGAAACACTTTACTACTGTCATACCCCACTACAGTCAATAGTACGACTTCGCCTCCAGACCTTGGGTTGCTTTTTATAGTCTTACTGTTCTCCAATCGACCTGCTTGGCATGGTAGAATTTGAAGAAACATGCTCCCGCCAATGTAGCTCGGTTGGATAATTACGATGGGCAAGTCCGACTACCACGTCAAGGTAGCAGCTACTGTCGGGTAGTTGAAGTTACTAAAACTCTGCATGTGTTTCCGTACATACGCAATCTAAAACAAGGTCTTAAAGTCGTACTTAAACCATATTTGTGTAGTTAGTTGGCCTTTCTTAATTGATAAGTTAGTCAGGATTTTCACGCTGGTTTTATTAGAGTCGATATTGTCAAAAAATTATTGTAACAACTGTGAGGTATTATTGACCATGCCAGTAACAACAAGCAGGTTCCCCACGTGCAAATTGTTATGTGAAAAACTTCATACAAGAACATTTATGCAGTGTTCGCTTTTTATTAGGTAGTCAATCATCCGTAAAATGTGTGACGAGTATGGTGGTGCAGATGATTTTGAATCAGATGAAGAGCCTCTGGACGAGGTGCCAGAAGACGACTTAGATACGAAACCAGGTAAGCCTAATAAACTTTTCTCATTATAATGTGACCCAACGATGTCAAGACGTTTGTTTCCGTTTCCCGACCTTTTCATCTCTAAATATTCATCTTATACAATTTTCTTAAGTAGATTATGAAATATTCGTCCATGTAGTTGCTGACTGTCGGTAGTTACAATCTGCTTGGTAGAGCCTCATTCAGCAATGGTAATCGTCGAAGATTTTAGATGATGTGCAGTATCACAGTCACACTCAACTTTCATATAACTTTAAGTTGTGGACTTAAGTCGTTTCGGATTTCTCATTATTCGATCTTATTCTTGTCACTCTTTTTGCATTCTTTATCTTCACTGCTGTTTATCTCTCTCCTTCATCGTCTTTGTCTATCCTCCGTATGTTGATGTGATATACAGCAAATTGAACACGCAGTCTTGTGCTTCAAAATCATTGCGTAGCTGTCTAAATAGCCCATCTTGTGATCAGAAGCAATCGAAATAAAGTCCATAAATCAGTCAGATAAGGCAACTCTTACATCAACAGATTAGTATGCCTAACAATCTCTATCTTGTCTCATCTATCACCAGTCTTTATGAATAATCATGAGTTGCTGCGTTTTTGATGGTATCGGTGATCGTAGTTGGAAAAAGTTAAAAATTGCACCAGTATTGGTTTTTATTTAGCTTATCAATACTGTAGAATACTAAACCCCACCCCCCAACGCTGACTGTGATTTAATATGTTACGGGTTTGAACTTCAAACCCCTACTATGTATGCTACACAACTAAGTCATGGTTATTAGACTGCTCTATTTTAAAATGGAGTTTATATATGATATTTTCACACCTATTTATATAGATCGTGTTTACACTAAAATTAGTCACATAATATGCATACAAAAGGCACTTACTAAGGTTTGGCTCATTTTTTTTATAGATGGTGTTACGTATATCACATCTGATGAAGTACCTCGTTTGTCAGGTCAAAATGTGGCAGCCCCAGTAGAAAAAAGTAAACGAATCACTACTCCGTATCTTACAAAATATGAGCGCGCTAGAGTTTTAGGTGCGCGAGCTCTGCAACTATCAATGTCTGCCCCTGTTATGGTTGAGTTGGATGGTGAACGAGATCCTCTAAAAATTGCTGAAAAAGAATTAAGAGCTAACAAGATACCTATCATTATTCGTCGTTTCCTTCCGGATGGGAGTTTTGAAGACTGGAGTTTAGATGAACTTATTTTGACAGAATAAACGCACCATATATTCGTGACTTCTTTTTACGCCGCTTGAATGATTCAGTACTACCAACTATTGCGTCCTTCGACAACATTATTTTCTGGAAGAAAACTCAGTTTATTTTTGTAACCAGTCATAATCAACTTACATTTCGGCACAGTCGTACGTTAGTCCAAATCTCTACAGTGCACTAGTACGGCAAAACAAAATGAAGATGAGTAGTGAAGTAGTGGCAATAGTGTAGTTCCAATGATATTGAAGAAGACCATAAAGATTTAGCACAGCTAATGTTGCTCATAAAAATAGTACGAAATGTTCTCTCGTCTAGGTTTTTTGAATTTGTTAATCTGTTATACGGATGTTGGCTAATGCTAAAAGGATTTTAACTGAAAACATTCGGTGGAAATAATTGGTAGTTTTATGTCAGGTGCGAAACGGCCTCTTAGGTTTCCAACAGTGATACTGTTTAAATCAGTTCTTGGCTTCAATGTAACCGAGAATTGATGGGCCCAAGATGTTTCATACCAGCAAATTAGGAGAAAAATATAGGAAAATCAAAAACGGGAAGGTAGTTTTATTTACAGCAGTGAACTAGGAGAAAAGGGGATCAAATCCAAGGAGAGGAGTTTAATAATCCTACTTCACTAGTTTATTATCCATTTAAATCTTGTTGAAAATGCAAATGAAACGGAAAGGTCCAGCTAATATGATGCTGTAAGAACATTTTTGTAAAAGACGGAACACTAACTACCGGAACCTGTTTGACAAACAAAAGGACGCCAGATGGTATAACAACTACAACTTATGCGTCTAGATAACGTTTTAACTACTGACATGATACCGATTCGCATTACTTAAGGCCTTCTATTGTATATTTCTTATGAGAACGAACAGATTGTTGTAAAAAGCATCAATCGTTTAAAATCACATAAGATGTATCTAAAGTTCATAAATTAGATCGTAAATCCTGGGACAATCGAGTAAGCAATGCTGTTGTTAGAAGACTGTTACTAGGTAAGGATGGCAGATCAGTAGATGAAGTAGTTAAACTTCATCATTTGAAGTGCTTTGGACACGTGTCATGTATGCACAACCGCATACTGCTCCGATGAGCGATGTTTTGTGGTGTAGGATTAGGTTGGAAGAAGGCTAGGAGTGGCAAAACCGAAATATGGCACAAATCTGTGAAGTCACTGACAACTGGATTGAGTCATGTTGGCAGATGTAGGCTACCTGGATGGGGTCCGAGAGATGACAGTAATCGATGGTCAGAGATCTTGAATTACATGGCTCGAAGTTGCTTGCAATGGCGAATGTGCATCCATTCTTTGAGTTCTCTCGAATTCTAATCTAAATTTCTTGTGACCATTTTTCTCCTTTTAAATTTAGTTCACTGGGATATACTTCTCAAATTATATCTTCGATCTCTAGTCTTCTTGATTACAACTAATACTTATACTACCTATACTACTATGGAATTTGAATTGACCATTTGATCTCTGGGTGCTAATGCGGTATGGTAACTTGAACTGATATACGTACGTACGATGTTCTACGTTGTAACTGACTGACCGAACTGTAATTCAGTGCCCGGGTGTAGTAAAAGAATTAACTGTTTTCATGTATTAGCATTCAGTATATCGTACTAGGATAATGAGCTGACACATTAAATTAATAGCTTACAAGTCCACATTTTTAAAAATGCAAGATTTATACCTGCCAAGTACGATTTAGAAACGTTACGTAACAGCCTTAAAGTGGGGAACAATATCATTCGTCCATACCTAAGTTTAAGAGGCATTTAAATAACAGTAATAATACATGCAGGAAAGATTTATTCTCTTCCTATCGTCTCTTTAGATACAGTTTTCATTGAATAAGGAAAAACTATATACACTTCAAAGAATGATCACGGAATGCCATACAGGTGATTGCTCTCTGATGTCCTTTGTATTCAACGGGTACTTCACCGGTTTCCAAATTCCACAGGCGAGCAACTCCATCAGAAGTTGCAGTGAGCAAGAAGCGAGAGTCGGCCGAGAATGCACAATCCCAAACCCAGTGATGACCTGATGGACTACCCTGTCGGCTTGTAACTAAGCTAAAATCGGCCGTTTTCAATAAGTTAAATTTTCCATCACCTCCCCCAGTAGCAATTAATGTACTATCTGGTGAAAATTGCACCTTTAAAACATACGTTGGATGTATTTTCTGCCGATGCTGTGGAGAAATAAATGGGCATAAAAATTTAGAAGTCATAACGAAACAAAGGTATTCTGATCTAACGCTGCACAAAAAAGGTCCTAGGAATTTTATGCCATGAAACATCGCCAAGATTCTCTCTTCAGGAACAAATAGACTAAAGTGTGTTAGCTAAATGGAATTGATTTGACGTAGTCAGCATTTTTGAGGGCAGAAACAAATTTCAAACGTTATGTGAACAACCTGGTTGCTACGGCTTAAAATACAAACTTAACTAATGCTATTAGGATGAAATGTAATAAACCAACTGCTTCTTCACTCCTACATCTAATCCTGTCATCTGCAAACAATATACGATAAGGAAGCCGCCAGGAAAAATAAGATACGTCAAAGAGACTAAGACGTATCCTACGATTGTGTTACTACCTGAGTCGTTATCAACCTTGTTTCTATCGAATCAGTTCTTTCGATGCAATGACGACCGGACACAAAATTGCCGAACACACATACGAGCTGGATTGCTCTTAATAACGCTGCCTTAAACCTGATGTACAATAGGCAGACTAGTATCATTTGAGTAGTATAAGCCGCAAGAGAAACCATCATTCGCAGATAGACTTCATCTACTAAGCTAAAACCAACACTTACAGCTATCTAGATACATGGGTTGCCACAAAGGATGAGTACAGACATAATCTTATGAGTCTTTTAGGGTTATTTTGCATTTCCGAAATACTTATGGACATTGGTTGTTAACTGCACGATTTGAGGTAAACTTAGTCATCACACATGAGGGTAACGTCATTCTCAAACTCGAGTTAGAAGTGTTTTCTCGCTTTTGTAATTTCCATTCAAAGCCGTCATCGACAGTAAAATCGTACAAGAGTAACTGAACTGATAACCCTTTCAAACCTGACTGTTAGGTTGGAACAACCGATATTTGGTTGTGTGCGTGGAAATTCCCTCCGTGTGAGAATAAGCACTTTCGAATTACAAAATTTCGAAAAGTCCAGACAATTATTTTAACTGGGAATCCGCTTTTATCTTAAATAGACATAGGTTATCTACGCTTGAGGACCTCCGATTTGTCGCGTGATTCGGTAGTAACATGAGATAGCTTGATTGACCTTACTGGGTCAATGGACCAACCTGCTATGTAGAGTGTGAATAGCCTTTCAACTCTCCCAAGTAGTGCGTTATCAGCCTCGAACTATTCGTCCAAATGTTAATGAATATTCGTACTGGTTACTTGGTTTAAGTTGCTACGATATATTACTTGTATTGATAGCTATTTTAACATAGTGACGGGATATTTAGGCTTGAACATGTCCTGTATAGCCCACTGGACTCTTAGATCTTAGAAATACTTCTGATGTTTAATTTTCCAGGCTCAAAGATCTTGTTTCGATTTAGTGCGCCAGCTTTACCTGACATACTCACTCTTCAATTAGTCTCAACAGGAAAGTAAGACTCTGATAGGATGTTTAAGCTCTCTCAAATGATCCGCCAAGATAGCTGAGTCGTCTTTTAGCACCTAGGAGCAGTTAGTCAGGTGACTAAGAAACAAACTATGGGAATGGCATTCGTGCTAAATTAAAAACAACTGGTCTTACACTATGTAGGCTATAAAGCTGCACACATTTTCAAATGAAACAAACTGCTATTCTCCATAAAGTATATAGGGTTTTTCTAGTATAAGGCGTGGATTTATTTACGGCATAGAAAAAGTATCTGGTTTCCAGTATACTAAGAGAGGTGGTTACTCTGTATTCATCATTAATTACTAAACTAACATGATTTTTGTACTGTTACAGTTATCTTCGTTACTAATAATACTCAATTAAAAAATAGCATTAATTCGAAACCAAAATGTGGAGAAACATCTAAATGCATACAGCTAAAATACAAACATACTCTTTCTATAGGCTTCCAAGCAGAATCACCTGTTAAGGACCAAACAATAAGTTGGCCAGCAGAATTAACTGCAGCCAATGAAGTCACTTCTTGATCTATAGATAAACTATGGATAGGTTCATTTTGGGCGTCAGTGCATATAGAATTCGCTGCATTGTTGCGAAGATCCCAAACTATAATTTCCCCTTTACTTGTCCCGATGAGGATTTCATGTTGATTACGGTGAAGCAACATAGTATTAATGCTCGAAGATGTCTACATAAAATCAAAAAGGGACAGGTGACGTTCTGATCTATGAGTTTTACTAAGATGGCTTAATACATTAACATAATCTAAAAACAATATTACTGATAGTATAAATATTTGAAGTTATGTAATCACGATAGTCAATTATATTTCAAAGATTTGAAAAATAGCATAATATGTAAAAAAATATAACACAAAAATTTTTAGGCCAAAATGGACTTCCGACATGAGAAGAGGACTAAATTTATTAGGTTTGAAATGCATATCGATACTAAAACCATTTACATAAATTCTATAGTAAATTAGAAGACGCATGGAAAGAGCTGCTTCATCAGCTTTAAAATTTCTATTTAATAATGGATCAATGGCTGTTTTGTTCTTCGAAATAGTATAATTTTACTGATCTTATTTCCCATGGTGGACCTATGTAAGAAATAGAAAAACTGAACACTGAGTACAAAACAGCTATTCCCCTCAATATTGAGACTCCTTAGTAGTAAATACAAACAGGCCAAGATGATTGAATCAACCAGTTGTAGAATGAAGTTGAGACAGAGAGAAATAACGCAGAACTTCGTACGTAAGTACATCAGTTCAGGTTGTCATGCCCCATCAACACAGAAACGCAACTGTCAGTTCAAATCCAAGAGTGATAGAAATAGCAGAAGTATTAGCAGTAATAGAGAAGATTAAGAAGCGAAGACTTGATTCGAGAAGTATTATTCAGTAAAGATAAAATAAGAAAGAGAAAGACAGAGATGATGATGAATTCAGAAGGTTAGAATTAAAAACTACACAAAGGGTGGATGCTTCTGCGCCATTGGAAACGATTTTGAGCCATGTCAGTCAAGGTCTCTAACGATTGGTGACTTTCGTCTCGCGGACCCCAACCAGGTAGCCTACATCTACCAACATGACTCAGTCCACTTGTCAGTGACTTTATGGATTTGTGCCATGTTTTGGTCTGGCCGCCCCTAACTTTCTTCCAACCTACTCCTACACCACAAAACATAGCTCGTCGAGGCAGTCGGTGGTTAGGCATACGTAACACATGTCCCAACTACCTCAACTGATGGAGTTTCATTACTTCATCTATTGATTTGCCATCCTTAACTAGAACTCGTTTCCTAACGACAGCATTGCTTACTCGGCTGTCCCACAGTGCATGAGCAATGCTTCAGAGCCACCTGTGATAGAAGACTAGTAACCTATGAATATCTTCTACTCTCACTGGCCATGTTTCACAGCCATAAAGTAAGACGGAGCGAACTACTGCACAGTACACTCGTCCTTTGTTTAGCATATCTCGCCTGAGCGATAGGTGACGCGGGTAGGCAAAAGCAAATCGAGCCTTCTCTATCGGAGCTGAGATTTCGTCAGTCACCAGACCATCGGCACTGATGAGACTCCCTAAATATGTGAAGCGGTCTACACGTTCGACTACTTCACTGCTTCTTGAATATTATCTCTAAATCCTACTTTTCTTCATTAGCAGTAATTCTTCTAATATCTCTACCACTATGGAATTTGAATTGACAGTTGCGTCTCGGTGCCAATGTGGTATGGCAACATGAACTGATGTACTTAGGTACGAAGTTCTGCGTTGTAACGTACTGAACTGACCTGATACGACTCGAAGTAGAATGCTGCATGAGATTGAATCAACTCCAGTCGTCACATTAAGCAACGGTACAAAATGAAAACCAAAAAACTCTGAACGAGGACAACAGAAGAGAATAAAACCGTAGGATACCTACTGAACTAAGGAAGTGTCGTTTTTTAAACGTAGGGTTAAATCTGCTTCTCAAAGCCAGGATGATATATGTTCACATTCATAAAACCCATCCTCTGTACGTTCTACTAATAAATTAGTTTGACAATTAAGTGAAATATTTATGATTACCTGGTATATACGTGTTATCCACAGATTTCCACCAGCACGCCAATCTATAATCTTTGCTACACGATCTTCGGCTCCTGCAAACATCCAGTTTCCTGTGTCATTAAAGCCAACTGTGTTTACATTTTTTGTGAAATCTGAAACTATAACGAAAGGTGTCGCGGGACCCTGAATATCATAGATACGAACTCGACCATAACCGCTAGCCGCTAGATACTGTCCGTCGCGAGAAAATTCAAGAGCATTTACCTACAGATCTAACTTCAAAATATATTCGAGTAACTGACTTGTGATTCATTGTGCTGAAAACCCTGAATGTATTTTCCAGTGCTCGGTTGCCACATTCTGATAGTATGATCAAAACCTCCAGTTGCCAACGACAAATTACTATCGTAATCGTTTTTCATCATTTAGCGTCTGCATAAGAATAACGAGCGTCACAAAACCTTTAATAATGTGAAAAAGGAAAAAAGAGACAATGACAAACAACGGAGGTTTATTTTAGAGACATTGTTGCATCTAATTTGAAGTCTGCAATCTATTAATATTTATTTTCATTTTTATCTTGTTCCAAAAATCTTAAGTTTCATCCCAAAATTATTGTAACTCAAACCTAAACTGTGTACTCTATTTTGGACATAATTTTGCCAATTCTTTGTGCGTTGTGGTCTTGCTGATCGCATATTTATTAATCTGTCGTTTCTCATTAATCAAATCAGGAATAAATTGAGTAGTCAATCAATCTTCCCTCTCTCCTGCTCGCTAGCTTAACTGGTGATGGGAAAGATTTCGTTCCTCTGTCCAAGGCCATTTAGTCACAACCGAACTCACGCACTTCTAGTCACAAGGTTAACTAGATAGACTATCATGTCAAAGACTTTTAACGAGATCGAGACAAAGTTATCTCCTGTTTATGATTAAGCAGAAAGAACAAGGATGTAAAAAAAATTTGTCTGCTTCTACGGCCGTATAGTTTGAAAACTATTGGTGGATGCATAGTAAGTTGATCTGTTTTTAGTCATGTGGATACGGGGTGTCTATCCCATATTCCTAGCTTACAGAAGCTTATACTTGATAGATTTTACGATAAGATTTTCGGTAGGGCTTGATAATCTTTAAACCGTTTTTGAAGTAACACTCAATTGACACAGTTTCCAACAGTTTTAACGACTCAGGTTATTCAAGTTTGTACAGAAATAGAAACGTACATGCTTGTTGTAGTTATTTCAAACGTTATACGAACTGAGTTAAGAAACGGTGAAAACAAATATACAGATGAAATAAAAAGGTTGGAAGAAAATTGTGTCACTAGTAGTAATAAATCTCTTGCTCTTTTGATGTTATATTGTTTAGAAAGAGATAAGGTGCAGGCTGCTTAAGGAGAGAGTTTCAAGATAGAGGTAGGAGTGCAGTCAATGTAAAGGCATGAAGACATTTCAGAAATCAAGACTTATGGTTGAAACAAATATGAAACCATAATGAGCATCAATGAACATGACAAATTTAGGGGAGAAATGCTCAGGTAAACTTAGTAGGCATGAAACATGTGAATATATATTTATATAGAAAATAGAGTAGGAACGTGTACCCCGAAACCCCTTAATGTAGTTTTTATGGAAAATAATGAGGTCAGACGGATGGCTTGAATGGTAACATTTGATTATATTCAATTTCATAGGGTGAGTGACTATAATTTCTTGGCAGCTATTGGTGACTAAAGTGCCTCTGTGTGCCAGTATCAGAATAATAAGTTAAAATTACCTTCTTCGTTCAACTCCTGACCGAAGCTGCTACATTGACGTGGTGGTCAGGCTTGCCTATCGTGATGACCCAACCGAGCTATATTGGCTGGAACGCATGTTCCTGCAGGTCCTACCATGCCAGGCAGGTCGATTGCAGAACGATGAGACTAAAAGAAGCTACCCAAGGTCTGAGGGCTGTGACAGCAGTAAGGTGTTTCCCTCGGACAACCAGCATCTGCAGCGATGCTGCCTTCTCACAAGGAAGGAAGGGTTAGAAAAGGTCGGCCCTAAAAATGTCACACCTCCCCTAACTCACGGATTTCCGTCTCCTTGGGTAAGGGTGCCCAGTAAGGGCCTTTAAGAACGGAGCTAATCCTCAAAAAACATTTGATAAAAAGGCCGTGCGTGACCGGCCTCAAGTAGTTGTCCCTTGGGCTCTGCGGTCACGCAACCAGGTCTCTAAGACCAACACTAATCTATCTTCCTTTTCAGGTTCCTCAAGAAACAACCTTCCACGGTGTGGGCAGCCGGGAAGTGATAACCGCCCTCATACCCGCACAGCACACGAGACCAAATTGTTCAAAATCAAATCCTCCCTACATTCCCTAATACCCCTCTTATCTCCACGACTAACTCTTCTCACATTCATTTATCACAGTGCACAGCTAATGCAAACGATGCGAGTTCGCGAAACGTCGTTCCCGGTCTCCTTAAACCCCGTTCAAACTACATGTTGGAGCATTCAATGTACGGACATTGTGTCAAATAGGGCAACAGGCATCATTAGCTAGGACTTTAGAATCTCGTTCCATCGATGTGTGCTGCGTCTCGGAAACGCGCATACAGGATCCGAGTAGCATCACTCATTTGACCTCACCATGTCAAGATAGAGAAGCAGCTCGCCGGTGTAGGTATAGAATTGAGTCGTAGGGCAGAACAGTCTCTCCTGGACTGGATCCCTGTAGATAGTCGCTTGTGCGCCGTCCGACTGAACGGGACAGTAAGGGCTCGGAAAGATAGGGACACTCGTCGTTGCCTCTTCGTCATATCAGCCTACGCCCCCACTGACTGCAGCCCAGATGATGTACAAGATGAGTTTTACAGAAAGCTTTCGGACCTTCGCCAAAAAGTTAAGCGCTCTGATATAGTTATAATGGCTGGTGACTTCAATGCTTAAGTAGGTAGACTAAGTGAAAATGAGAGACACCTAGGTGGATGTTACGGTCTCGCGGCTCAAAGAACAGACAATGGCGACCGTCTGTTGCAACTGTGCTCAGATAACCAACTATTTCTAGCGAACACTAATTTTAAGCATAAGGAAAAACATCTTTTGACCTGGCGACCCCCGAAGTCGTCTCAACGTTGGACACAACTAGATCATATCGCCATCAGTCACCGATGGAGGGATTCGATAGAAGACTGTCGCTCGTTCTGGGGCACATGTTTAGATTCAGATCATGCCCTAGTGCGAGCACGTATTTGTTTGAGGCTTGCTGGACGTAGGAAAGACATCGTAAGGAAGCCTCTTAGGGCTTTACTTGGTGATAATCAAGCTAAGAAAATATTTCAGGAGGAACTAGAAAAACAGTTAGGCGGCCATGCTAGTGATTCCCATCTTGAATCAGGTTGGAATGATATCAAGAAGGTCGTGGAAACAGCAATGGTATCTGCTAGCAAGGTAAACCACAAGGCTAGGATGAAGCCATGGATTTCAGTCGCATCCACCGAAATGATGGATGCTCGAAAACGCATCCCACCTGACTCTGAACATGATGAAGAGCGTAGTCAGCTTAAGCGCAGACTTATAAAAAGCCTACGTAACGACCGTGAACAATGGTGGGTGGCGAAAGCAAAAGCAATGGAAAAGGCAGCGGCGATAGGCAACACTAGACAACTTTTCCGCCTTATTAAAGAAACCGGTATTAGGAACCCGAATGTGAGTGAGACTATCTCGGAAAAGGATGGTCTTATTATCCATTCTCAATCTAGGAGGCTGGACCGATGGGCAGAACACTTTAGGGATCAGTTCAACTGGCCTCGAGCCACAATTCGGTTGCCCACGATCTCCAGTCATCCTGAATGGCAAATCGATTTAAGTCCTCCCAGTTTGCATGAAGTTGAGAAAGCTATAAGAAATCTAAAGGGAGGTAGAGCAGCAGGTCCTGATAGGCTTACTCCTGTGATGTTTAAGTATGGTGGTCCAGTTTTAAAGGTTAGACTGACCGAGATCCTAGGTAGAATCTGGGAACTGGACGTATTCCCATCTGACTGGTCTCAGTCGCTAATTGTCCCAATCTACAAGAAAGGGCAGAAGTCCTCTTGTGACAATCACAGGGGAATAAGTCTAACTAATATAGTTTCTAAATTGTTAGCCTCGATTATACTTAGACGTCTAACTAGAGCTCGTGAAGAGCAGACTCGAGAAAACCAGTCTGGTTTTCGACCTGGACGTGGTTGTATAGACCACATCTTCACACTACGACAGGTTCTGGAACACAGACACACATTTAGACGTCCGACAATAGTCGTGTTCCTAGACCTAAAAGCGAGATTTCACTCAGTGGATCGTGAAGTTCTGTGGCAGTGTCTGTCATTGAAAGGTGTACCAAAGAAGTACATTAACCTTATACAAGCACTCTACTCGAACACCACTGGTCGGGTGAGAGCATATGGCGAACTGTCATCTAAATTCTCTACATCAAGTGGTGTCCGTCAGGGATGTCCACTCTCTCCATTCTTGTTTAATTTTATCATAGACATGCTCCTAGAAATAACATTATCCTCGTCTGAATTTTCAGGAGTAGACCTTTTACCAGGTGGCTCGCTTATTGACTTAGAATATGCCGATGACATAGTCCTACTTGGTGAAGAGGCTGACAAAATGTAGAGTCTTCTGACTACCCTAAGCAACAATGCAAGCATGTTCGGGATGCGGTTTTCCCCCTCGAAATGCAAAATGTTGCTTCAAGACTGGGTTGCAGCGGCACCTGAACTAGTGATAGGGAGTGAAGTAGTCGAGAGTGTTGATCACTTCACTTATCTTGGGAGTCTCATCAGTGCCGATGGTCTGGTGACTGACGAAATCTCAGCACGGATACAAAAGGCTCGATTGACTTTTGCCAACCTGCGTCACTTATGGCGTAGGCGTGATATCCGTTTGCTCACTAAAGGACGAGTGTACTGTGCAGTGGTTCGCTCCGTCTTTCTTTATGGCTTTGAAACATGGCCGTTAAGAGTAGAAGATGTTCGTAGGTTACTAGTATTCGATCATAGATGTTTAAGAAGCATTGCTCGTATATCGTGGGACAGCCGAGTAAGCAATGCTGTCGTTAGGAAACGAGTTCTAGTTAAGGATGGCAAATCAATAGATGAAGTAATGAAACTCCATCAGTTGAGGTAGTTGGGACATGTGTTACGTATGCCTAACCACCGACTGCCTCGACGAGCTATGTTTTGTGGTGTAGGAGTAGGTTGGAAGAAAGTTAGGGGCGGCCAGACCAAAACATGGCACAAATCCATAAAGTCACTGACAAGTGGACTGAGTCATGTTGGTAGATGTAGGCTACCTGGTTGGGGTCCGCGAGACGAAAGTCATCAATGGTTAGAGACCTTTAACGACATGGCTCAAAATCTTTGCAATGGCGCAGGTGCATCCATTCGTTGTGCTCTCTCAAATCCTAATCTTCTGAATTCGTCAGCACCTC